AAAGTTATAAATAATGTGAGGGGGCATGTGCTGTTGTTATTGTAAATATTCAGTTGCGAGGCTTTGGAATATAATGTGTTACAAGTAGATTGCAAAATGTGAATTACAAAATCTACCCGTAAAATTATGTACAAAGCACAATACAAGCATTAGGTACAGCCAATCAAAAATAGATATACAGCAAATAAATTCATTCAACCTCTCGTAGGTCACTTGAAAATAAAGTGTAGGTGCGGTACTTTGTAAAATCCAGAATCATCCGGAACATGTAAAGATAGCTGGTCAGAAATACATAAAGCAGGACTGAAACCCCAACCAACCTTTTGTTTTTTCATTATACTATTTGTAGTGCTGACATTGTAAATTATTATTTTATTTAGGTGCTCCCTGTCCAGCTAACAAAATAAATTTGCAACAGAAAACTGTTAATAATTACAATTCTGTTCATAGTGTCACAGGTCATGATATTTACCAGACTAACTTAATCGGCATTATATGGTATGACCACTTAGCTACGTTCCACTTTGTCAACAATTTGAGAGAAAACAGTAGAGATACAAATAAGGATTACCCCTATAAACAAAATATTATTCCTGCATATCAATAGGGTTTTCGAAGTAAACACAGTACGGATACAATAGTTAAAGTATTTGATATCCTATCGGAGTACGAGGATTTCAAGGTAGCTGCAATATTTCTTTCAGAATATTCAAAAGCATTTAATGCAATAAACCAAGAACTACAGTAAGTTAAATCGCCTGGAATTCTCATCATTAACTCCTTTTGTGGTTTGAAGTTTATATCAGCAACAAAAATCAACAAATTGGTACACATTTGGTTGACGGTTCTATCCGATTCGTAATAGTTACGTTAATCTTGGTATCCCACAAGGATCGTTCCTGGAACCCTTTATTTACAACTTGCATATAACAGTGTTATCCATTGATGCACATAATTCTTCTTTAATTATGTATGCAGATGAGACGCAGCTCCTATTTTCCTTCCAACCATTTCAAATTTCAAAACCACCAATTCAAATTTCAAATCGCTAGAAGATTGCCCAAAAGATTAAGATATCGTCACAGGGTACAAATTCACTAGTTGTAAATCCATTAAAAATAATAATGTTATTAAAACCGTGATGATACTAAAAAAAACATTTCCAATTTAGTCTTGACCAATTAAACTAATTTTTTTAAGTTGTCCTCACATAAAAACAAATTAACTGCACTCACCATAAATTCGTTTGATAATTTATTGAATATAAAATATCATGATTTCTAATAACTTTTATTTCTTTATTGAATTTTCTGTAAAAAAGGCTATTTATTTCTAATATACCCTTTATTTCGAATATACACAATCTAGTCACATTAACGTAACCACCCTTCAAAATCCTGAATAACCCCTTTTGCCGCGCTGTCTGCCGCGAGACGTGCAGGAAGAGAGTGAATTAGGTCCTGGGTGGTACCCACAAGGAGATGGAGCCATCTCGACTCCAGTGCCGTGGCCATCTGCGCTAGGTTCTCCGGTTGCGGGTCCATGGCACGAACAGCTCAATTGACAAGGTCCTACAGATTCTTGATTGGTGGCCAGGGGAGTACTATAATCTCTTTCAGGTGCTCTTCTAACCATACACTTACACTGCGAGCTGTATAACACGTTGCAATTTCCTGCTGGTAGATGACGTCTTGCCGAGTAAAAATATTCGTTGTCTTCATTGTCACTGTCTTCAAGGATAGCTGCACACTTCTGTTGCTCAATCGTACCTTCCAGAATGACGAGATCACTCAGGAAATGCCACGAAAACATTCCCCACACCATTACGCCTCTTCCTCCGACCTGAATCCATCCGGCAATTGTTGCAGGGGGTTTGTGTTCAGACATTTCATGCCAATGACCATCTGCCCAATGGAGCAGAAAACGTGATTCATCTGAAAAGGCCCCCTGTCGTCACTCAGTAGACGTACAGTTGCGGTACTGGCGTGCAAATTTCAGCCTTCATCGCCGATGAACGGCAGTCAGCATGGGTGCATGAACCAGGGCCTGCTGTGGACGCCCGTACGCAGCTGTTCGCTGAGTGGTTAAGGAGACTCTGTTGGTAGCCCCTTGGTTCATCTGAGTAGTCAGTTGCTCAACAGAGCATGTCTGTCTGCCCTTACACATCTCCATTTTGCCATGAACGGTATACTTTAACCACGGCGGCACGCAAACACTTTGCAAAGTTGTTCGTTTTTGAAATGCATCCTCCCTTGGCCTGACAGCCAATGATCATGCACTTTTGGACGTCCGATAAATCGCTCCGTTCTTTGCCTTGAGATAACTACTGCACTGTTTTCTGCTTCCACCCGACACACTTTGTGTACCCTCCATTGTTCGTGCTGCCACCTGCCGTCTGTGAGTGTTTTTTGCCCGTTTACGTGGATCGTTGACGGTGGGCATATTAATGTTCAAATTCAATGATATTTTGGAAACACTGTGAAACCTGATCAAACGATCACTTCCATTGTGCGATCATCTTCACTGACGACTATTTTTCGTGAAACAAACTGATTTGTTTCGTTAGATACTGATCTATTCAGAAATATCGAAGATAGTTTGACATTGTAAAGTAAGTAACTCCCATTGATAGATGTTTGAGTCCGGAATTCAAAGTAGGGCTTTTTACATTCGTCAAAAGGCAGTATAGTAGACATTTTTACTTAGTAAAAACAAAACGTGGATGTTGGCATACCAATTTCAGGATATGTGGGCGATGGAAGCTGAAATGGACATAATATTCCGAGTGTTGAACATCACGACTAGTGAATGGAAATAGATGTAGTAAGGGACAAATTATATTTAAGAAAATAACATATTAATATTTAATCAAAAGTTGTATTCCGAAGAACAATTCATCAACCGATTATATCACGTTTTAGTATCAAGTATGAGGCAGAAAAGAGAAAGACGACTATCACGAGGCTAGAAATATCCAGTGTCAAAATTAGTTATAAAAATTGCTGATGAAAAGAAAATGAAATGTTACATGATAGCTTTGTGGAATTTTAAAATCGAATGATATTAATGCGTGTAAATATTTCCACTTATTAGCGACCATCTGACTATATGGTCAGAAGCCAGGAAGTTTCGTAAATTGACTTTTATTAAGCAATCACCTCAAGAGATTTTGAACTGTATTTTAACAAGAAGTGGAAAAGTAGTGGAGAATACTATTGATTTAATATCATCCTACCACGAGACGCATTGGCATATTATTTCGAATAACGAGATCCGAATTGTCTTATCTCGCAAGTGTATTAGTCTGTTTCAGGTAACAATGAATTTAATAAATATCTCTTAATAAAAGAACGCGTTCGTTTATCCCATTTCACAGCATTCCTATGGTTTACTAATTAGTATTTCCATTTTGTGGAAACATATTAAAGAATCGCGGAGAATGCGCGAATCCGATCTAAAGGCTATTTGCTAACGCCTTCCTTAGATGGCTCTGCTGTAAAAATTTCATCTTCAAGTCTAGTTTGTTTTGTTTCGGCGAGAACGGAAAGTGAGTTTCTCGGCTAAGAAAATGAGTGACAAGTCAAGGATTTGTTTTTATATTAGCTGAAATTAGCCAAATCATCCTAAATACCTTGTTTTAGTTGTGTTTTGTTATTTATGGTAATTAAAAAATGTTAATTAAAAAATTACTTCATTTCATAGCAATTACCACAATTAGATTTTATTTGTGCTTCCGGCAACATCATAACATTAATTATTACGATCAATTTTTGCCGAAACCATTAGTGCTTAAGTCAAGTTTCACTGTATATTGTAAGTAAACAGTTGGAAGAAAAATTTAATTTATACAGTTGTTTATATGTATAGTACTTCTTGGCCTTTTCAAGTAAAGAATGTATCCATTAGTGATATTCCCAGAGTATAGAATCTACTTTATACCGCGTATTAACCAAATCACAAAAAAATAATGTACATTCAAAAATGCATTTCCTCAATTCACGTTGTGTAGTCAGAATCCACGTTTTTAGGGTCGTTGATACTCAAAAAATGGTTGAATGAAGAACGTCTACTAGACATTTACCAATCTGTATTACGACAGATATTACAGGTGGCTTTTAAAATATAAAAATAAGTATTAAAAATGACGCACGTTCCATTTTCATTGCAAAAGTTATAAATGCGAGAAAGTATATGATGTTGTAGCATCACTGATTTTTGTTCATTTTCTTATACTTTGGTATACAGTTTGTAAATCAACGTAGCACTGAGACTTGCCAGTTTAGAGTAATGCCAGAGTAGATAATTTCATACTAGTCTCATACTAATAGACTAATTTCATACTCGTCACAGTCTGTTTATTGCATTAGCAATAAATTATTATTATTATTATTATTATTATTACTATTATTATTATTACTATTATTAGCACTATTGATATATTTTATTTTAAAAATACTCTTTGACGTTAATTTGTTTTAGTATTTCAGCAAGACTGGCTGTCATTTTTTAAGCGCCAACCTTCTAACACTTTCGGTTTTCGTACTTTCCTAATTTATAATGCAGGATACCCTTAATAACACCAAACAACTATCATCATTTTAGAAAGTTTGGTACTACCAGTTTTCTCTCAATCATTTTCGTCGCGGAGAAAATAAGCCTTTTTCCTTGCTGCCTGCGAGCACGCCGTCCAAATGTTCTACATATAGAGGCCCGTGCTGCAGCTGAGCTACATTGAGGGGGAGGAGAGGAGAGGACGGCAGCGATGTCTCTCCTGGGCGAGGGTGGCCTCTTCTCTTGGGGGAGGGGCGCCCCTTATAGAAAGAGTTTGCGTGTAGACCACTGAAAGAAATAAGAAAGTCCAGCCATCTGTTAAAAGATATTGCATGACTTGGGTTGAGGAATAATCTTATGGTTTACTTTCTTCATTATTGTATTTGTTCCAATGATTTGGAGTCAGTTATGACTTTTGTTAGTTTCATTATAATTCATTTGTTCTCTAGAGGTTACTCTACATTTTGAAGACCAAGATGAAGCTGAAAAAGAATATTTTGCTCACTGGAAAGCTACAAATGTGTGGTCAGATGTCAACATCCACAGCAGTGACGAGACCAGTAAGTAATATATTTTATTTTTATTGCACGAATATGAAGAATAAAATTAAGGGAACTAGTTCAAGTTGCCGTCGCTTATATTTTAACTGTGTTTAAAATATTTTCATTTATGTTGAAAACTTCTGCTATGCAAGTTCTAAATAATAAGAATCTTGTCACATACACTAGAGTGCTTTTTTCAACCTGGGGCGTTCTACGTGAAAAATTATCTATTAAGAATTAAAATTAAATAATAGAAAGGCCCAAAAAATATATAATCGCAGGTCTTCTAGTCTGGTGTTCTTTGTAGCCTCTACAGTTACTTCCCACCGTAAAATACGGCATTGGAGACCTAATCTGAACGCTCCCAGAAGAGTTGTTCTGAAGAGTATCCTATCATCAGAAAAAAATATACATTTGCAAGCACCTATTCTAGAACACACCGTTCCATTCTTATAAATTTCCATTCGAATACTATTTCGCAGTTGAAATTATCCTACAAAAAGGGATTATCCCATTAGCATTACCGTATATACAACACATACGGTTATTCTACAAAATGCTAACTATCCCACAGCGATATAGCTCTGAAGAAGGCCACAGCAAGATGGCCGATACGTCAGTACAATTGACCGAGACGCGGCTCATCCCGAATAGCCAAGAATGCATATCCCACGGGGAGGCAACACTGACAATGAACCTTTTCCTTCAGAGTGTACCAAGCGCTGCCCCACAAATAGCGGCATTCGGGCGATAAATGTCCAACGACCTATGTCGTTCATCGCCTGGGTCCGTGGTTCGCCTCACTGGCGTCATAATTAGTTATCATAACAGCTGCCGATCCAAGTACTGTGGGCGTGTCTCAGAGTGGTAGCGGCAATTTCGAACGAAACTTCAGAGAATATAGTACAAAGCTCTATAAAATAAAAAGCATTATTAGACAAACTGAAAAACATTATAATTAACACAGATTTTATTGCAGTGTTTGGGTTAGCTGACTTATGCCATTATCATGTCCAAGTGACCAGATTTCCATTGGCCTGCGTTTCACCACGATAGGGTCTTGAAACGCCCAAAAACATTTTCTTTCTATTTTTTAAAAATGTACTAGATGACTCTGTCGAAGTGTCTCCGGTCGCAAATCATTGTACTTCTACTGCCTCTTATTCTTCGTGATTTGTGGATGTGAGAGAAGAGCCATTTTAGGTGTCTTCACTTGTTGATGTCCGTAAAATATGACCGCTGGGGGCCTGTTTGCAGTCACTCGGACTGCAATTCGCATGTCAATCAACACACTGATCAACTTGGTTGACCAGTGTTCCTCTGTGGTCTCCTTAAATGTCTGTCCGGCACGCTCTACCAAGACATTTTATGTGGCGTGGGAGGGTGGAGAGTGTTTTACATTCACTCGGCTCATAACCAGGCAATTCGAACTCCAACGAGTACAGTTGAATGCTCTTGTCTGAAACCACACACATTGATACCCTAAGTCTGCAATCACAACCCGGATACAGTTAACAGTGGTACCGCTCCCATCGACTTCATGCGCTTGACGATGGGGAACCTTTAATACGCATCAACCATAACCGAATACTTGGCCTTCAACGGGCTTGAGGTAATCAATATGTGCTCTCGCACATAAATTCCGGGCAGCTACGGTGAAGGTATGGCTCTGGGTGAGTTTTGTCGGAGCCTTTGGCACGTCTGGCATCTCCGAATCATAGTCTCAATATCCCTTCTTAGATCTGATCACCAGATAAGCGAACGGGCCACCGCCTTTGTAGTCATAATTCCTTGATGGGTTGCATCAAGGGTAGTGTCCGGAGCTTGCCTTTCTCCGGATCCACCAGTCTTTAGCAGACATCCCTGTTGTATGGGAAGGTCGTCTGCCTATATTGGCCTAACTCCTGGAAGGGTGTACTTCAGGACCATCCCTTTTTCACGACTCCATGACAGTCTTCAGCACATGGTCTGCCGCTGTTGTCAACGCGACGTCCTTCCCACTGCAGGGGCCTGCAGCGGAAAGTATGAAAACACATTTGCATTTCCATACTGACAGTCCTTCCGGTACCCAAATTCATAGTCGTACGCCCCTAATATCAGAGGACACCCTGGATGACAGTGTTCAGTCATCTTGGGAGTCCTGCTTAAAATCATCGATTAAAGGTCTGTACAAATTTCACCGGAGGACGTCCATAGATATGTTTATGAAGTTTATTGGCACCAAACACAAAGGCCAGTGCTTCCTCGTCTGTTTGCGCATTGTTGCATTCTGCCTGAGACAATGTTCATGATTTAAACGAAATGGGATGCTCGTACGCGAAAAGCGCGGTTGCTCTCGTAGTGGACCTGGACAGCATGTCCTTCACTATTCATAGAGTAGCTTCATGTGAGTTTGGCTATTTCCACTCCGCTTCTGCAAAACCAACCTGTACTCGTGTTCATATATGGATTCTCGACGGTCCAAGAATCTGCCATAGAACTTGATTATTCCTATGAGAACCCGCAATTTTGACCTGTTACGTGAAGTCAGTGTAACACCAGTGGCGTCTACGTTCTCTTGTAGCGATGGAATTCCCGTTGCAACCACCCGATAGGCCAGCACCTTCACCAATGCAGCGTAGAAGCTGAATTTATGTTTTTTCGTAGACCAACTGTCTCCAGTTTATCAAGCACCTCCCTCGGACGTTCTACACGCTAATTGTTTTGTGTGTCTGACGACCATTATGACATCCAAGAACACTAATACCACAGACACGTCTGTCAGCAACCCCTCCATCAGGGGCTGGAAGATGCCAAGGAGGCTGAAAAGCAAAATGGCAGTCGGTGGATCGTAAATAGCCCCTTGACTATTGTGATAAAGAGTCGTGCAGTTTCCTCGTCTTTCGGCTGCTGTGTGTATGCCTGGTTTAGGTGAAGCTTAGATACTATACCCACAGTCAGTTTTGCACATATATCATCTATCGATGGCATTGGGTAACGGTCGGTCTGCAGAAATCTGCTCACTCTTGCGTCGTTGTCCCCATACAGTCTCAGCCTCCCATCCGTCTTCGGTACCTCTACCACAGGTATGGCCCACGTCGCGTAACAGTGTTCGAATCACCCCCAATTCATGGAGTCTCTGGAGCGCGTCGAGCACGTGTCTCGAGGACGTAGGCACCTTCCGCGCGGACATTTATACGGGATTAGTTTCTCTGCCGAAATCCAGGTGCACTGGTGCTCCTTTGAACTGCGACAACTGGTGACTGTCGTCTCAACGCCGAGTTATGAATATTTGGCCGACACTGGTCCTATCCAGCTTCAGCTCGAAGGGCATGCAGACCAGCTAACGATATGACCAAATATACCTACCAATTTTGACCCTGGAGATTGTGGTTCTTGGGCCCATCCCCCAACACACAGGGTAAACTGATAGTGTGACCCCGAACCTTCACTCTCTCCTGCGTGACTCCTACGTGGTCCCAGGTGTGGTAGTCATCCACATTCAATCCCACATCCGTGTCCAGTATGGATGGCTGTTGTCACCAATGCTGAAAGGTTTTCTTGTGTATCGCTGTCACTGCAGACTCCATTCGATTTTTCGGCATCAAGCACCTACAAATCATGAATTCTTGCTACACCACGTGTTAGAAGAAGTATCAACAAACATCAAGATACGTAGTCATTTTCATTCATTGGCCAGATGAATATATGACCTAAGTGAGAAGACACAAGGTAAAGGCGATGCATATATAGGAAAAAGAGCAAACGGTCTTCGGTATCTTTTTTACTTTCTCGCCATACCACATACTTACGTAGTAAAGAGAAACTATTGTACTAATACAGCAAAAATCGGCAATAATTCGTTAGAAAAAACTCGTATAGGCTGTATACTGGTAATGCAAAAGTGAAGAAATCTTGTTCCTATAAATAGTGATTAACTTCCTCTAACACGTTTAAAAGTCGAAATCTCCATTTTGTGAGTTCTTGATACCGAAAAAAGGTTTGACAGCAGAACGGTCGGGCGTCTTTGAATAACTCTAGCGCGTAAATTGTTCAGACCATTTTCTCCTAAATTGTTTCTCGAATTGTCTGGCCGAACGCAAGACCCTGCAAATTGGAAAGGGATATTTTGATTTTTGGGGATACTTTACAGGAAGCCTCAACATTTAGAAATTCTCTTAAAAATGGCTTTTTTTTTTTGAATAAATGTTTTCCACGGATAGCGCAAACTACGCATAAAAATGGCACAGGCCTAACTTTGGTTAAAATCTCTGAACTTGTGAAAATTGAAAACATTTTTTCGCCGTCTTCCTACAGCTACAAGATTGATGCTACAGAATATAGTTTCTCGCTATGGAATAGAGAGAAAGTTATGTAATGCTGCGCAAAAACACAGAGAATTTTCGGCAGAAAAACACGTATTACAGGGCCCTGGTGACGAAAAAGTGGATATATCCAGTTGCAAAATTTCGGGGAAAATCCTGTAACTCTTGGTGAAACCAGAATCCATACTTTGTAGGTCCTTGATAGCGAAAAATCGAATGACGGCAAAACGTCTGTCTGTCCGTCCGTCAGTCTTCCCGTCCGTCCGTCTGTCCGTCCGTCAGTGATCAAGGCTAGTTGCTAAACCGTTCAGCCAATTTTCTCCAAAATTGATACTCCGTATTCGATCTGACTGATGTCGTGGCCACTTGAATGCACCCGATATTTTAATTTTTCGGGTACTGTACATGAAGCTCCTGGGATATTTTCGAAAAAATGACTGGATCATTTTTAATTAATTTTTTTGGTTGGATAGTGTAAAGGACGTTTAAGAGAATGACTGGTACAGGCATCATTTTCGTGGAAAACCTTGATTCTTCGAAAAGTGCAAAAGTTTACATTATTCGGCGTCTTCCTTTAACTAAAATATTAAAGATAGAGATTTTTTCGTTAATGAAATCTGTTCCTTAAAGATATATTTTGAAATGATATCATGTACAATTTTTTGAAAATCTGAGTACTTTTCGTGTAATTTTGCGTGAAAGTCTGGGCGAGA